TTTGGGGGGAGGGGAAAAAAAAAGGGGGGGGGGTGAACCTCCAGGATTAAATCTTCTCCGCTGCAGCTGCACTTTGTGATTTAGTTACCTTGTGTACCTCTGATGCGCCGTAATGACCAACACGATGGAGTCCGACATGTTTGCTCAGTTTTCGGCAGGTGGTCAATCAGATCTGTGCTTTTTTGATATCACCTACAGGCCGGTTACAAAACACTTCCACTCTTGATGCAACAGCAAGCAACAGGAGGATGAAAAGACTTTGATATAACCAGACGAGCTCCGAGGTGGGATGACAGTAAGATATGGTTCACTCATACCCTGGTATCCAGGCCAAATGTCTGGTAACATCTAGGATTGTGCTGAAAGTGCTGTTTTTTTTAATAGAAATTCATTGTTTTATGTGTATGTAGTGTGTGTGTGTGTGTGTGTGTGTGTGTGTGTAGGTGTGTCAGTACACTGTGCATGTGGGTTCTCCCTACCGGGCTCTCCTCCTAGCTTTGATTTGAACCAACACTTGATAAGCTTTCACATGTGACACGAGATAATACTGGATTTAGAGTTCAAACACTCGACAACAGATTGTTGTTTCAGTCCAGGCAGAAAAATCGGCTGACTTGGTTTCTCTTTTCGGCCCCCAGAGTGCAATCAGTCAAAGACAAAAAAAAAAAAAGAAAGAAAGAAATCTAGTGGGAAGTTGAAAAGTTGAGAGTCAAGTCAACCGTTGTTTCCCTCCGTCTTCAAACGATAGTCTGTTTTCTTGTTTTTATTTGTTCTGGGTGTTTTTTCGAAAGTAGAAAATGAGAAAGTGCAGATGAAGTTCAACACGTCATGATGCTGTTGTGTTAACAGGTGGGTTTGGGGTTGTCACTGGGTGGGGGCCGGTCTTAAGGAACCCGCTCCCATTTCTAACAGCAAGATCTATGTGGTTTTGTGTATATGCGGCCAGGTCGACCCCTCCCCGGCACCGGTTAGGTTTCTGTAGTCTTTTTCCAAAAGTGCCAGGCATTTTATCATCGTCTTTGACCTCTCCATCTCTTCTTCACAGTATTTTTTTGCATGCAGGGTCATTCAACCCCCTATGATGCTTTAAGGCAGGGGAGGGAGACGAGCAGAGGAATCCACTGATCAGGAGGGAGAGCCGAGTGGAGGAGGCAGGCACGTACGTAACTGATGATGAGTCCATTGGTCTGTCTATCTGTCAGTCTCTTTAATCCTGCCCACCCCAAAACCAGGGGGACTTCAAGTTACTGCAAAAGGACGTCCACTGTTGTCCCTCAGACTGCTGACACCTGTTCATCCTCTGTGGAAAGAGAGAAGACAACAGAAGGTTACACTGACTGGACAGCATGTGTGAACTATTTCTAGTTCAGAAAGCAGTGAGAGGTTGAGTGAAAGCTGCCTTCATATCCAACACTTTAATACTTTCTATGATTGATTTCCTGCCTTCGCTTAACGTCAGTATGATATGAAAATCAACTTGCAGCGACTTGAAATTTGACAGTGACAGAGGACATTTTGTCAGTTTTATTTAATCTTTTAAGGTGTGTTACTGACACAATGCAGCTGTGAGCAGGGGCTCTTCTCAACTCGTTGTTTAATACAGTGATGCAACAACATTTTTACAAATTCCCTTAGTATTAGTCTCGTGACTTTTTACAAACAATTGGAGACAATGTTCTCCGTGATGGCTTTACCCTCTCAAGCAAATTTCAAGTCTGTTTCGGTTTGATTTTCATCTTGGCTGCCTGCTAGGTAGAACATTTTAAAAACTCATGTTTGGGAAAATAATAATATTAATATTTTTCTACATGCTTACATCAAATTTAATTTAATTATAGTAGTTTTGATGTCCTATTATACTATGTAACATCTGTCAAAGGACAACAGATACTTACAGTAGTGTTTATTAATGCGGAAACCAACAGCTGTTCTAAAAACCAACTTTAATTAAAAAAAAAAACACTGGACAGCGTGTATAAAAAGTGCTGCTACAATAACACAGAATTCATCCAGAGTCACTGAAGGCGAGTCAGGTGCGTGCTGGTGCAGGAGAATGGAGGTGCATGTTTTCAGGCATTGAGTTTGATTGCATGGGTGAGAGGGTCCTAGCGGCACTGCGCCTGCTGATGGATGCTATTCGGCACAGTGTGCGTGAGACAGTGAGAGAGAAGAGCAGAATGTGTGGTGGCAGAGAAGTGGTGAGTTTCTGGTCTGACCAGTATGACTCATGCATGATGACATATCGTGGGTTAAAGGTGAGGGTCCCGCTCCAAATGAACAATTCCCAGATCATAAATACTGAATGTCTGAATTTCACTTTCTCATTACGAACACTGATAGAGAATTGGAATTTGGAGTGGGACCGATCCCGCTGGTGCTGTGGGAAGTTGTGTGAAGGAATGGTCTCAGTCCAAGTGTGTATTCCTGTTCACATGCAGGTTCATTGGAGTGGAGGGGGGGGGCATTGGAGTGGAGGGGGGGGGGGGGCAACCTGATAAATTAGTTTTTACCTGCCTTGGGGAGAGGGGCCCTGCCTGTTAACCCCCGTACACTCACTCTCATGGTCTGGGAGTCTCAGGTGTATGCTGTGCCACTGGCTTTGGCTTCCTCAGAGCGATTAGTTTGGAAGACAAGGACTCACCCTCCTCTTCCTCCTCAGCCTCTTGCTCCTCGGCCGGTGAGCGTGTGCGGTGGAGGCCGCCCGCCCGCTGTTTGGCCCCCTGGTGGGCCTGGTGGGAGTCGGGCGACTGCGTGACCATGCGTGAGCGCTGCAGGGCCGTGGTGTAGTCTGGTGGCCGGCGGCCTGTGTGGGTAGCTGTGGACGTGGGGACAGACGGGGCCGGGTGCTGCCCTTCGGCGAGGTCGGAGATGGTCAGGGCAGTGTAGCCGGGGGGAGTCGGGGGAGGCTCACGGTAACGGCTTTCTTTCCGTGCTGAAGAGACACAAAAGAAATGAAGATGCAGATGATGACGGCACTTTTAAAATACCAATGTTTGCTGGTTTTTAGGACAAAAAAAATCTTTTTTTTGATGTTGATTGTAGAGAAATGAAAGGAAATGAAGAGAGAGAACAAAGGTCACTGATTACAAGGTCAGTGTCAAACCCCCAAGATGCACTACAAGGAGGTATAGTTTTTACTGCTCTATTGCATAAAATAAAGGAAAATAAGATCTTGGAAAATACTTTCTCTATACTCTGTATGTTCAATATTAAGCTGGAGCCAGAAGCCTTAGCTTAGCATAAAGACTGGTAACAGGGGCAAACATCTAGCCTGGCTCCCTGACAATGAAATAAGTTTCCTATAAAAACTTGACCAGAAAATGCAGAAATGCAAGCAACAGGACTGTGAAGCTGTGAAGTTCAGTCACTCACTAATGAGGCCTTTACCCCCAGCGGTGATGGGTGACGGGGAGGGCCGGCTCAGCTGCTTGGCCTCCTCTGACCCGGTGGATGTGATGCTACTTGTTTCTGGGTCGGCATTGACGTCCTTCCCCCCTCTCCTCTTAATGGTGCCAGTATCTCCCTCAGAGTCCTCTCCCCAGTACGCAGCTGAGGATGAGGAGGAGCTGGCGGACGCCCAGCTCCCCCTGGCCTGGGCTGCCCACAGTGCGGCAGGCCCCCCTAATAAGGCCTCCGGTCCGCCGGGAGGGAGTCCACCGATGCCACCTCCAAGTCCACCTGCACCAAAGGCCAGAGTCTCCCAGCTACGCCCCTGTTGCATGGTCTGGATGTTGTCGTGGGAACCAGAGGAGCAGGAAGTCCAGGAGCCGCGGCCGCTGTCTGCTGCGTCGAGGGACACGCGGTCGCCCTGATCCTGAGTCAGCTCCTCTGAACTGGGGGAGGAGAGCACTGTAGGGCAGCCGGTGTAAATGCCCCGACAGTCCTGCATCGATGAATATGAACTACCGTTTGAGAAAAACAAAGGAACATTACTCAGGTTTGAAGGTCAGAGGAATAAAACAGATCAGAAAGCAACCAACGAAAAAAGCGTTCCTACCCGAGGCTGTACTGGTCGGGGTCGGTGGTAGCTCTTCGTTCCAGCCGCGGCCCCCCAATGTGCGATTCCCCAATTCCTCCAGAGTGACGGAGTCTCCTCTCCTCCTGGGCCATGTCGAAAGAGGAGTTACTGACGAGGCTGGAGCGAGAGGAGATCTCACTGTGACCGGAGTCTGAGTAGGCGTCTCCCGTCCTGTTGTAACCTGGAGCAGAGGAAGGAGTTGTTAAAGATGTTCAACCTCAACAAAGAAGACTCAAATCCTGCAAGTCCTGACAGCGCGTGTGGGTCTCTGCCACGTTCCCAACCCAAAGCTTCAAACATAACAATAACTTATGGTGGGTCGACTTCTTTTTAACTCTGATCATAACTCTCTAATTCACATATCTTATCTCAGTCAGTCTTTTTAAACGAGGCATCACACACCGACTGCAGGGATAATTGCACAGTGCCATTTCCAAGTCAGCCAACCAGCTCTTTAGGGACGAGTGACTTAGATTCTTACTGAAGCAGCAGTTTGCTACGAGAGTCAGGGTTTCAACACAGCGCTGAAGAGTGTGGAAAAGTTTCCATAATAAGTGGGACTGAGAATTGCACAACAAAGTCTGGGGAAGTATATAGAAATCACTGGTGCTGACTGCTGACACATGTAAGTACATATTTTCTAGTTATGCTGTCATTGTAGCATTGGCTGTAGCTCAGCTATAGAGTGGAACAGCCTGACAGTCTTATTTCTCAGCCACTATCAGCATTAGTCACCTCAGTAACCGCTTCCATCCCGGCTACGCTTTTGAGTCTGAAGAAAGGAGGGAATGTTTAAATGAAAATGGATTAGGAAGCTTTAACTATAAAGATGTGGAGCAAACATGAGTCGGAGGATGTTAGATGATATCAATTCAGCTCAGGCTGAAGGGGACACACGGACTCATAAGACCCTTGAGGTTAATTTAATGAATATAAGCAGCAGCTCTAGAACTGTAAAGACAACAAAGTCCTGTCCTGTAAACAACTGATGCTTTTTGGACTAAATTAAGGCGTTTTATCTGTAGCAGAGAACAATGTTAAAATTATGGACTGTAATTATTTATGCTATTTTGCATATTTTTAGGTTGTTTGACTTCTAAACTGCAGGTCTTTAAAGTATGTTGTTTTTAGCTTGTGTATTTATAGCGCTTGTTTTGTTGGTATGCTGTGTTTGATGTTGCCCTGTCTGTCCTGTACCATGAGTTCATAAAGACAAGCTTCTAGCAACATTTGTTGAAAATGGTAATGTAGTTAATTCTAATTCTAAGTAAACATTTTTCTAAAGCTGCTTCTAGCAGTTGCAACACATGGAAGAGCTGTTTTAGTAAAACCACTGACAGCCACTGTGGCTGAACAAAGAAGAAACGCTGGAAAGAACAAAAACATTCTATGAAAAATATATGAAAACACCAATGGTTTCTGGGAAATGCAGGGTAAAAGCATTACAGATGTTGTCAAAATCCCAAATTCAAGAACTATTTGGATTACAATTTAAAAGGCTGAGAATGTGTGTTAAACTACATTTAAAGGCATCAGACTCCAGACCAGTACCAGATTACCTGTGAATGCAGTGGCTTAAAAGGGGGACCCATATTTCTGTGATCAAGGCAAACATGTCAACAGCAACGCTTTATAGACTGAAGCTGGGTGGGAATTTGGTGGCCTTGGTGTGGCCCCAAGTTCTAGTTAATTATTGTCTTTTCTGTGGCAAGGACCAGAGGACAGGAATTGAATATTTGTTATTAGTGCGTGTTGTCCTTTCTAAGGTAAGAATCGTATCCTTCTGTCTTTCCCCTGCAACACATTACATAATCTCTCATTTCTTAATCCAAAGAAACAAAACTGGTACTGAAGAATCTAGGTTTGAAATAAGGTGGGTCTTATTTTGGAGTAAAAAAAATACTAATAGTACCCAACAACCAATCTGAAACACAATGTAATGCACACTGGCAGCCACCAGGTGGCATTTGTGACATCATGACACAGAGAAGGCGCATGGAAAATGGTGTGAGAGGGAGGGAGGATTATTGGCTTACCCTTCTTGGGTGAGCTCTGGGGGGAGGTGGGAGGGGAGGAGAGCTGGGAGGAGGCGTTGGACACAGTGTCCTCTGGCTGCCTCCGGTGCCTTTCGTTCCCCTCCTCTGACAGAGACAGGATCTTCTTCAGAGACTGAGGGGAACTGGTGCCTGTGGACATTTGCGAGAAGATGAGCAGAATTAGCATGAGGAACACTGCCATTCCCCAAGGCTGCTGGGATGCTAAACTGCATTGTCTGGGATTTTCTTTTTGTTTTTTTTTTTCATTCTTGTCAGACAGCCTCTAGGTGGCAGCCCTGTCATGAAGAAGCAGGGAAATGTTGGCTCTGCTATTGTCTGAAAATAACTGGATGAGGAAGAGCGAACAAGGCAATGGTGGCATGTAGAAACAGAGTGAACAGAATCCACTCGATCCATAACAACACTGTTACACAATATTATCAACAAAAGAATAACATGCATATCTTCTTATTTGGACAGAGGATTTAGCTTAAATATGACATAACATGTACCCACAAAGAAATATAAGCAGAGCAGTAACCGTAGTGGACTGTAGGGGACTGTAGGGGACTGTACAGGGCAGTTGCTGGTAAGGATTGTTGGATATTTTCCACTACAAGAACCGACATTACAATCAATTTAAGTGTATTACTTCAAATAAGACTCTATAGACAGCATTTCCACATCAACTGCACTTCAAAAAATAGATTTATACAAATATACAATACATATAAATACAAATACCTCTAGGTCTCATTCTGAAATATAACTTTAAATAAAAATATAACTGATACTATATTAGGATTACTTGAACTAGTGGTTGGAGGTGTATGTTCAGACTTACAAATCTCATTATAGTAATTTTATTATCTTACCAAAAGGCGGCAGATCCTTGACTGGCACTTTCTTTCGGGATGGGTAAAGGGCCACGGCGGGGACCTGGAGGGCCTGGTTTCCTTTGGCCAACTGGCCCCTCTGTTGGCTGGCAGCTCTGGACACAACTGGGGAGGTGTCTGGTCGTTTTCCACTGGCATTCTTGGGCACTGCAGTAGCGTGAGAAAGTGAGCAAATTTCCAAAGTTAGATATAGATTTTTGACTTTAAACTGAGATGTATGTGTATATAAAAGGACTCATGAGAAAGCAGGAATTTGCTGCCTAGTTTAAGAAAAAGACTAGTAATGGATAGTCAGTAGTTACAGGGATCTAAACTGTATGTTTGAGAGAGAGAGTCTCTTTGACCACTTGTACCCTTCCTTCTGTCTGTCAATGAATTAGCAGTAGTGGTGTTGGCATTAACAATGGAAAACTGACCTAGTGGTTCAATCATTTTTATTCCCTGCCAAAGAGTCCTTAAGCAAGACTGAGTGTCTTGTTACTCCAGTGGTCCCACCCTGTTTGTCTCTGCTATAAATCTTGGGAACATGTGTGTATTCAAGATAAATATGCACTCAACGTTTAATTCTAAATATATTCTTGAAAAGATTGCTTTGAGGAGGGATAAGCCAGAGTTTATCATGTTTCCTATTATATTTCTATAATAGAAATAATGCCTATATCCTGAGTGTCACAAACTCACATGTACTGATGGAGGGTTCACACTGCATCGAGAGCGTCTGCAGGCTCTCCTCGTTGGTTTCCAGGCTCAGGTTGGACAGGTACTGTTTGACCTTCCTGGCCATCTGGGCGTCTTCGTAAAGCTTCTTGGCGTTCAGGAAGGAGCTGCGTCGCACCCGCTTCTTGTGCCCCCCTGTCTGGGTGACGTCGAGCACTGCCGCATTGGCGCTACCCTGGCTTAAGGACCTGATAGCACACATAGGCACCCACGCAGAAACATGGACGTAAACACAGAGAGGAACGCGATTTGCAGGCACGAACCCAGACAAAGACGCACAAAAGCAAATAGAAAGAAGAGAAAAAGGCTTATTAACATATTGCTTTAGTGTGTAAATGAGGCTACATTGATTTTATTGTACAGGTAATACTACTGGGCTGCATAGGGAGTATGGTATGTACACTTGGACATGCAGAGAGCGGTTTTGGGCCTTTCTCTTAACTCCAAAACATTCCAGACATTCCAGGCAGCAGAGGGGGTGAGGGATGATGGCTGTTGTCAAACAACAGGGGAGTAGGAAGGGGGAGTTCAACTAGTGTAGCACAGTCATAGTTTTCATTTCTGTGGCTTGAGTCAGAGCTGGTAGTAGTAAAAGCTTTATTTGTACATGAGCTCAGTCAAATAATAGTGTTACTCAAATGAGTCACGTTTGATCCTATCATTTCTTTATTGTGTTTCTGATAGGACTGTTTTGCTTCTGACTATCAAAATCAAAAAAATCTGCTATGTGCATATGGATTCACATTTCATTCAAAGGATCTTTTTGTCATAATTACTACTTCCGTATCTAGTAATTATAACTTAGCACCTCATATTTCCCAGATTCTCATAATTACAAGGAAACTCTAACGATTCTGAGATATAGATCGCACAGTTCCAATATGGTTTTCTCATAATTACAAGATGTTAAGTCATAATTACGAGATAGAGGAGTCATAATTAGCAGAAAACGTTTAATTTCTTTACCCTTTAGTGAATGCAATGTGCTTCCATGTGTTTCCCATTAAATTTCCCAGTAAATTCTGTATGCACAATAATGTCCTATTTGACCACAGGAATGTAAAGCATGATAAAAAAAAAACTATATCTGGCTGTTTGGAGGTTTGATGTACAAATAAAACCTCAAAGACAGGTCAAATTCTGTACGTGAAGCTGCATGCATATTGTTAAGTAAAGCAGCATAAAGGTCACATTTGCTAATGTAATGCTGGAATCCAATATTCATTTGTTGTATCTTTACAATATATGCATTAGTTTTTTTTTTTATTTTCCAATCATCTGTGTCTCATTGTTATTGTAAGCACAACGTCTATGTTCAGTTTACAGAATGTAACATAGTCCAGTGTAAACTAATGCTAGCATAAGTGACCTTTGTTTCAACTGAATGCCCTTTGGTTAGGATCAGGCAGTGTTAGTGGATTCAACTCAAACTGGTTAATGGAAACAAGCTTTCAGAAAAGAAGAAAAGAAGCACACAAATTGGCAGAAAAATGCCGTGGTGCAGGGAGGGCAAAAGGTTGTAGGGTCACCAAACTTACCCTAAACTTCTCCATTTCTTCTTCCTAGAGGGTGGGTGCCATGAACAGAGAAGCATGGAGGGCAAAGGGTGGACGAGTAGAGAAAGAGAGAAGGAGACAAAGCTTAGGACAGGAAAGACCACCAAGATCACCAAAGAGAAGCAATTTCACCAAAGACCCACGTGAAAGTCAGAGGAGGAAATCAAATGGTAACACCACTGGGAAGTGACATCATTAGACAAAGACACACTTTCACAGGAGCACTGTGCACATCCTATGCCAACAATGTGTATAGGGAAACAGTTGCCAGAGGAAACAGTTGCCAGAGGGAACAGCTGCTTGACAGAAAAGCGTGATGCAGAAATCTTTACTGGATCTACAGTATGTGAACCCGCTAACCCCTCAGAGTTTGGTTAGTCAGTGGAGTGCTGACTGGGCCTACAGAGAGGGTGAAGGATCATTATTCATCTAAAAATCGGACTTCTTGTTTTTTTTTTAAGGAGTCTTACCTGGTCCGGAACATGAGAGCTGGGTCCATGTTGACGGAGGCCATGCGTCCAACATGGCGAATTTCTTTGGCAATCATCCTCAATTTCTCAAAGTTCACCAGACCATCCACTTTAGAGTCATTGCCTGAGGAACAGGGGACGAAAGAATGTGAACGCCAGTTACGCACACATTACATGGCTCACAAAACAAACACAGATCTATATAAAGTCACAACTAGACTTAACTAGACAGCTAATACCAACACAAGAAAGCTATGTTAATGCTAAAGAATACTTTTGAGATAGCCACAGCTAGCATTAGCTAAACATTAACCTACTTTTTTCTTTACATTTCCTGTAGTTGTAAAATCTATTTTTTATCTATCTAATCTATTATTAGTGTATTTACTCTGGCCATCACAGCCTCTAAATAGTGGAATTCACAAAATGTTTTGAGGAACTTTTCATAGCTTATTCATTTAAGAGTCCAAAAGTAAAAGAGTGCATTGCATCTTTTAGGGCATTATACAGGTCTGTGACATAAAGGGGCAGAAAATGACTATTATATCTTATCTGCCATATCAAACAGATTTTCAGTCACAAGCTTTGTAGAATGCTTCCATATTAGAGGCGGGATTAGCTGTATGTGTTTTTAATTGGATGCATGAGTTATACCTTCGTGTAGGAAGGTGAGGTCCTTCTTGATGACAGGGAACAGGGGAATGATCGGTGGCTGGAGGTTCTGATTGTTGAGGACATTCCTGTACTTGGCCATATTTCTTGATGGGTCGAAGAGGTCCTGCAGGTCCCCGAACAGCTTCTCGTACTTGCTAGGTAGCTTCTCCCATGTTCCCCTCAGCCTGGAGACTGGAGCCAGGTTCAGACCACTGTGGGTGGGAACATATTAAGCATGAGTATGGGAAATTCTTGCCTAATCTGGCTTAGTTTATTAGGTCTTCTTATTAGTTTACTTATATTACAGCTAAAAATCATAAAATAAATCATTTCTGCAGAAGTGACGACAGCTAATGGACTTTGAGATATATTAAACGACTAATAGGTTATTATACAGTAAAGGTGCAAAGAAAAACCACAACTGAATATGTGAATGAATCAAGACATCCACTCACTCACATTTCAAAATGTAAGACCATGGCACGATTAACTACACATTCATTATTCCCCAACTCACCTGATGATGGCGAACATGGAGTTGAAGTTCTTGCACTCGCGGCAATGCAGGGCAATCTTGATGAAGTGCTTGATGGTCTTCATGCGCTTCAGCTGGTTCGGCTCCCGGGTCACCTCTGTGGCCACCCAGAAGGTCTCGTGGTTGATGGCCTCCTCAAAGCGTTTCAGGCTGGCCGAGCCTGTCTTGGAGCGCAGCTTGTACAAGTCATCGATGTATTCAGTGGGCTCGATGGCACAGAACAGTTCAAAGGCCCTCATGGAGAGCTGAGTGGCAACCTCCACTGTGCTGAGCTGTAACAAAGAGATCTGGCCTTCTCGCAGGAGGTCCTGAGCGTCCTCGTCGGAACATAACGTCTCCGTCTCCATGTTGCTCTTTAGGTAGTATCTGATGATGGAGAAGGATAATGTGTGGTTTGTTTGACTTTTTTTCTAGTGTTGACAGTTGAATCAATGAGTAGTCAAGAAAATTAACTATTTTGATGGATGGATTAAGCTTAGCTTTTTTTCCAGTGTGAGGATTTACTTATTTTCTCTACTTGATTACATTTTAAACAGAATACATTTTACTTTTTGAGTGTTTGCTGGACAAAACAAGCAATTTTAAGCCAAGGAGGGAAAACAATCACACTAATAAATAAAGGTGGCAGTTAGCACATTCAGATGAAGATGTCATTACCTGCCACTCAGTTGAATCCTGTCGGCTAGTTTAGACAGCTGGTCTGGTAGCCGCCTCTGTTTAATGACGCCCTCTGGTGTGACGGATACTTCACACAGCGAATAAGCGTCTGCTGCTGCAGTCAGGGCAAACTCCCTGATAGCCTGGGCCACCACCTCCTTAGCCGTTGTGTCCTTCCCGATCATGATGTATCGAGACTGCTGGTCTGCCTTGAAGACTCGTAATACCTGGTCCGACATATCTGGGGACGCAAAACACATAATGAGGATAAATGTTTAATTGTCAGCATTGTTTTTAATGTGAGCAATGAGCTGTTTGAATTTCATTATGCAAGTAACACCAATGATTTTCTGCTGTTTTCTCCACCAAGATTTATCAAGAGCCAGTACATCTTCCCAGCATTCCCTTGGAGCAAAAACACACCGACATATTTGGGATGTGATGGATCATTCATTAGTTTGATCAAAGACACAACTCCAACAGATCACATGATTCAAAATCTCAAATTACTAAATCAACACCCATGTGCCCACAGAAAAAAGCATCAGCAGTCAGTGCAATGCTGTTAGCTTTACTCAGCGCTCACAAGCATGAATGCAGATTAATTGAGTTTATGTTACGTGTACAGACTTCAGTACAGCAGCTGATTAATGTCTGTGAGTCTGACATAGAGGCTGACAGCATTGACACAGACGTGACTGTGCTAGGAGAAGCAGGATCATGGGAGAGAAGGTACTCACTCAGTATGACTGGGGCTGGACGAGCACAAACAACATGTGATGGACAGGAGTTAATGAAGACAGAAATACTGATTTCATATTCCTATCATTGGCTCTATACAGTCAGAGTAACAAAATTCAAAGTAGGGCTGGATGATGATACGTGTTGTATATGTGTACTGTAGGATGGGAGAAATGTTTCATACTGTAGCATTTCTGGTTGTATACACCTGTCAATGAGCAGGACTTCCCTATAGCAACAAGGATTTACAGAATTGCTGCATCACTGTGATGAGGTACCTTCATGTGTCAGGTTTTTATTTACCGCCCTCTAAAAAAATTATATCTGCTTATTCTATCTTCCACTGGAGTCTCAATCAAGTTCATTTTTGACCTTGTAAAAAATTCAAGGTCTGTGTAGTGCTCAGAATTTTTTTTAAATTATAACAGCTACAGGTCCATCAAAACTGCGTAGTTCATGTAAAAGTTCACGTGACATGATCAAAGGCTACTAGAACAGCTTCTAAACAGACCTGAAGGTAAGTTTGTTTTTTCAACTGGTTTCTTAATTGAATATCCAAAACATGTAGCACATCACAATCTATACCAGTGTCATGATATAACATTGAATATGCTGTGATTTAAGACTTTATCCATATTACTTCCTAAAGGGAATAGTATTCCGTCAAAATGTAGTGTCTGTGCTCAAACATTTGTCATAAAAAACGTTTTAATAAAAGACATAATGTTATGTTTTAGATCTCATTAGCCAACTGGGATGTCAAATGCTTAAAGAAACTGCTCGATACACACCAGGCTGGTTGTTGAAGTCGAGGATGCGATGGTGAGACTGCAAAAGGTCTGGGTTTGAGGACGACAGGTTTCCACTAACGGGCAGAGGTGGTGGGATCTGTTTGGACTGCTTCATCCCCACAATGCTGTCGTCCTGCGATTGGCCCACGCAAACGTCACTATGGAAACAAGAGGGAAGTATGGGAGGGGTGAGAGAGCAGTTCTGTCAACAAAAGGCAGGGGGCGATGTTAGTGTTCGCAGGAGCTGGAAGCTGTGGACGCCTCTGGCTGTGCAATACATCGACTACAAGAAATATACCTACATTTTACACCTGATACTGGGTGATTGGTGCTGTGACAGCTTCACATTTGGGTCAGTGAGCAGAGATATCAATTTGAGATCTGCACCTGGTGCTAGATAAGTAGAATAACAAACTGAATGAGAATCCCACTGTCATCAGGAACTAGTTACAAAAACTCACTGTCATCAGCTGTGGGCTGCAGGGGCATCAGTACCTCCAGTTAATTGCTAGAAATAAAGAGCACCTCCACTAATGTCAAACATTTTTGTAAAATATAATACTAGTCTTATAAATCTTCAGGGAAAACGAGCAGTGGCACTACCACGCACAGCAAAGCCCACGTATTTTATCAGAGAGTTGATTGTTTAAACCTTCATCTAGCAACTACAGTGATAACAAGATGAGGTGCATCCAGATCAGTCTGATTCAGCTCAGCAAGTCATTGATTGATCCATCACGTTTGCTTTGCATCAATCAGAGCAGCATGTCGCAATGTGCGGAAAAAAGGAAAAGCTTGTGAGTTTTCACAATTTATAAAAAGTAGAGACAAACAGCCCAATCAGTTGCAATCAGATGAAAGAAGAAAATCAGTGCTTCCTCCCTGCAGACAGCACCGGATTAACCAAAACTTCAAAGGAAAGTACAAACCTCCAACATCACTCCCAAGACTTTAGTATATATTTGAGATACAACTATCCCAGTCCTGTTAGTTTAGTGAATAACCATTCTGTCTACAGTTTACTGACACCATCTAACATGATTATATGCTATTCAAATTTAAATCTCAAACATTTGCCTCTATATGCCATCTAAAATGTGAAAGCTTTCTTGTGCAGCTCTTACAATTACATAAAATAATGTTCTTGATAATAAAGGTTGCTATGTTATTTACAAATATGTCAACATGCTATTTAGGTCTTATTACTTGTATGGTTTAGGAGGCAGGATGCTGGTGAGTGTCTTGTCGAAGATCTTCTTCAGCTTGTTGCGTCCTCCCACCGTGTTGGTCTTTGCTTTCTTGCTGACCTTCTCCAGGCCCATCACCTGCTCCACGTCCACTGCCAGGTCAGGAATGGAATAGCGGCTGGCCTTCTTGATGTCCCCGATCTTTGGAAGGTGGGGTGCACCGTTCTTTCTGTCATGTTCCTCCTCACCATCCAGATCGTGGTCGTGTTCTGGCCTGGTTAGCAACTCTTTAAACACTAGACAAAAAGAGGGGGGAGACAAAAAATTGGTAAAGGAAGGAGAGCAATATAGTACTACTAATGAAAACACTATAAACATAATTCAAAATGATTGCTACCTACTCTCTCTTTTCTTTTTTAAAGTGTTGAAGTATTTCTGTCTCTTTTATTAGATAATAATCCCCCGAGCCTCTCTTGGTTTGAATTATTGAGTTTGGCTATACTTGATTTAAATCACTAGTGCCCAACCCTTCTGGTTTGTTATCTCTTAAACCAAACAATGTCTACTTGCGACTTGCTGTATTTGAAGTTTGAGAATCTTAAATCATTTCATGAATCCACAGGAAAGGAGCAAAGGTTTAAAAAAAGGGAAGTAAATACTCTTACTAGCTTTTCTCTCCTGTTAATGATCTCACAGCCCCTCTCCACCCACACCTTTATCTTCAACCCCCGGGTTGGGAAGCCTTAATCGCTAAACCCTCACATTACAAGAACACATAAAAAAACACATCTCCAAAAAACTTTACCTAAAAGGTTTGTTTTCACAGTTATGGACAAGTGGGTGTTGTTCTTCAGAATCTCATTGGCTTTGTTGAGCTGGACATTCTCAAAGTTCTGCCCATTGACCTCCAAGATCTGCAGAAAGAAGAAGGGAGAAATATATCAGGCACATTTTTACCAAACTGTCCACCTTATTTGATACCAACAATAGAGTTAAACAATGTGTTTGAGGGGTTAAGTGGGTGAATCTCAGCGGGACTTTGCCTTCTGTGCCTTCTCAAGAATGTGACACTCACCTTTTGTATCTCTTTATCTCAGTAGAGTTAAATAAATACTAAGGTGAGTGGGTACTCTCTAATAAAAATAAACCAGATCTAAAGTTACAGCTACTTGATCCAAAGTTATGTATGCTGATTTGAGTGCTGCACTGGGGGGCAAGAAAAACCTGCTGGTGAGTGTGTTTTCTGCCTCAGGTGTCACTTCGCCATGTCAAACTGAATGCCATATTGGATATGTGCAGTAAAGTGATGAACCTTGAACAAACAACATATTTGTATCTGGTGAAAAAAGAGGCAACAAACTCCAATCCTCTGGCATGTTATACATCAAGGCATTTAGTCCAACACATGGTTTTGACATTAACATGTCCCCTTTAAGTTGTTTTGTTTTTGTTGCTTGACCTCTCTATATGGGCCGGATATTTGCATTTCAACACAATCTGCTAACCAGTCTTTGCCACTTCCTCCTCAGTAGAAGAGGAAGTCACCTTTGACTGCAACATGAGTACAGGTCATCCTCTGCTGACTTACAAGAACAAATGTGTTGGGATCAGCAGCGATTAGTGAGACGTTGCTTGGAGTTTAGTACTACAGGGACTACTGCTAATAGATGACTGAACAAATGGCACTAATACTAAAGTCTGAAATGATAAGTCCTGGGTGAACTATGATAGTAACTGAAGCTGTTAAAAAAATGGAAGGTGTGCGCGGGTATGAGAGAGTAAATGCTTCCAAGGATGTCAGCTTCTCCACTTCCTTTTGGGGAAACAGCTGCAGGGGATGTTTGGAGTCAAGAGGGCTTAACTCGCATCCAGACACTCTCAAGATGGTTTCAAGGATTAAGGGACTTTGCTTAAAGCCCAGAGGACTGCCGAGTGTGAAAATGGTTGAGAAGTCAAGATGCGGGAAGAAAGCCAACACATGGTGTAATGCAGCTACTGGCAAGTTCAATTTAAGAAAAAAAAAACCTTTAATTGTAGTTAGAGCAAAATGTAAAACCAATTTCACAACAAAAAATGAACTTGTGTGCTGTGTGACAGGAGTGATTTCTCCTCACAATTGTAGCCTACGGAGAAGGCTGTGGCAGCTGCATTTATAGTTTTCATCCCTACAGTTTAAGAGGAAATCCCAAGACTGCAGACACTTCCTTATAGCAGAAGCAATGTATGCTGTCTTGCACATGTAGAGCTAGATTGTATTTGTAAGTTAGATGGCGACAAAGATAATGTTATGGAAACTGGTGGAAGTGTCTTTGAGTGAGAGGAAACATATTCTGCAATGACGGTGAAAGTGGTAAAAATGAAGATATCGTACCTGATCTCCACGCTTAAGGCCAACTTCTGCTGCCTTGCTCCCAGGCTCCACAGCATCAATGAAGATGCGGAACCCTTTCTCCTGTCCTCCGAGTAGGCTGAAGGCCAGAGGAGAGTCCCTGGACGGCTTGGTTAGTGTCACCAGCCGCGGCTTGGCTTTAGCAGCGCACGCTATATTTAACAGTCTTAGGTGCCCACACATTTTCTGGAAAAAAAAAATACAACAGATGTGAGGAAAGTGCAATAAATTGATGCACAAAATACATATTTGCATGTGGTTAATCCCTGCGTAGTTGCTATACTTACTTCTTTCTCCAGATTGTTTTCAAACTCTTCCAGAAAGTGAGTCATGGCAGGGTCACCCTCAAAGTCATTGAAATGATTGTTTACCCACAGCAAGACTACCCGTGTAACCTGGAGGAATCACATGATCAACACAGGTCAATAGACAGTTTACCGGTTGACTAAAAGTGTGTCATGTGTGCAGTGTAGCTTACATCCTGTTCTAACAGTGTATGTGGGTTTATGGAAAACCTCCACTCAAGTGTGTCATTATGCCTTCACTTGTGTGTAACTGCAGTATAAAGTCACCATTTTCTTTAGACATTCTGTCCACAATCAAAGTTATTTTTATCAGTTCATGCAGGTATATGGTGGTCCTGCTCCCGTACCTTGTCCCTGAGACTGGGGTCGTGGAACCACTCCAGGAGCTTCTTGCCCACGACCATGGGGCTGGAGAGGAAGGTCCTGTAGGTCAACAGGAAGTCCTCGATGTAGGTGGGGTCCACCACTGAGTGTTCCTCCACCAGGTGCATGGTGAGACGCTCCGGTGTGCCCTGAGGTTTAAAATGATGGCGTTATTGCTTTAAAATGACCTTTTATGCAACTCGATTGGCCTGATCAGTTTAAGTATCAACAGTTAATGATTTGGTTGGCTGTTCAGTGACTCTAGTCTCTTTTGAGCTGTCCTAATTTGTTTTCAGGTTTAAGGAAAACATAAATCAAAGTAAAGCTGATTGGTCACCTTGATGACGATGTGTCCTTTCCTGGTGCCAGTGCGGTCCAGTTCGCGGTGTTCCTTCACCATAACAATCTCCCCTTCCTCCTCCACCTTCTGCATGTTCTTTTCTACTTGGTTGAGGATGCAGCAGTAGTCCTGCTGGGCTATACACACAAACTGGACAGGACAGGGTAAAACAAGAGTTAGAGACATTTGATACATTTTGACACAAAAAAGTATTCATCATACATGCTGAACAGTATTGTAGTTACAGTATGTATAATTAAGTTATTGTACTGGATGCCCTAAATACTTGATCTGTTAGTGCCTTCACACCAGATTAAAAGTTAAATTAATATGACTAGCCAGAAATTATGCATAGCAACTAAACTACTATCCCCGCTGATAAATTATAAAGAAAGGGATTTTACTAATTGAAAGCATCTCAGCAACTAAGCCTGATGAGTTCAGCTGCTGAAAATTAAAAGACATGTCTTTACCTTGTTTCAATTCAGATTGATTTAATTGTATAGAGCCAATTAATAATTAAAGTTATCTCAGGACCCTTTTAAAATAGAGTAGGTCTCGACCGTATAAAATAATTTACAGAGACCCAACTGTTTAGTAGTCTATTCCCATTAAACACATGAGCTGGCCTATTCTCTTTCAAAATGGTTGTGGATGCTATTGGATGCTAATGCCCAAAGCTACTTTCATTGTCACAAGTGCAAAACTTGTCTGCAGGAATGAGTTTAATATCATGAGACGTCAGGGTTCCTGCTATGCTTTTCAAACTGGGATGCGGATGAAATGGAGCGATAAACCGTAGCCCACTGTCACTACGCAGGAACATTTCCAACAAAGAACCTACCTGGCAGTCATCCACCTTGGTCTTCATGACGCCCTTCATGTATTCCTTCTCCATGGTTGGTGACACCCCAAAACTGTTCCCCATGCACAGGATCTCTGTCCGGCTTTCGGGGTACGTCACCTCCACTGAACCGTTCAGGATCACCGACCACGAGTCCAGCTGGAGCCGAAAGCACATGATTGTAGTAGTTAGATATTGGAAGGAGAAAGTGGAACACAAAAGAAAACAAACAAAACATTGGAAAAAGAGAAAGAAAATAGACAAACAATAATGAGTTTGTAGATCACATTAACTTTAGTCAAGTAATATTCCAGCAGCTGGTATCCCTTAATGACTCAAAGATATTTATCAAAAACAACCATATGCAGAAACTACAAGGGGACTGCTGCACTAACAGATGGGTTTTTATTTTCCTCAAAGGGATACAGCAATACCACAGGACCTAGGATAGGGAGTTGCAATAAACTCAAAGTATTGTTACAAGTAATGCATGCTTGATCTGAAATAAGGAAATATCATATCTTTTATCCTTTTGGGGGGTTAAGAAAATAGGGAAATTTTCAAGATTTCCTGAAAAGCTTTCAGGAGAATTTTTGAGATCCACAGATTTTACCCCGACAGCAACAATATGTTCAATGAACCCTGAATTCTCTATGACCGGACATTTACTAAAGTGATCTGGCCTTCAAGGCAAGCTCTGCTCTTTATTGTCTGGGTGCATCATAGCAAAAACCAAGCAAATTGCCTTCATTGAAACTCGTGTTGCGTCTTTATCAGAGAGAGAGAGAGAGAATAAGTGATGCCTGCCTTAGTTGCCTAAGGGATCCTAGTAAGGCCCGATGATAAGGGTTGTCCACCATTCCGACTTAATAGAGCAGAAAAAAAAACATCAAATGGAAGGAGAAAGATTCACTGGTGTGAATCTGTGAAGCTTAGATGTGGCTCCCCGAGACACACATACACATACAGACAGAATCAAAGGCATGACAAAGTCACAAGACAATACACTAACACACACCTCCTCTCCATCATTGAGAACGATGGTGCCGGCACGTTCGACCACAGCGAAAACCATGACGGCGCAGAGTTCCCTCCTCACTGACATGGTCATGTTGGCAAATGCTGGCAGCTGATGCATGAACTCCAGTAATTGCTCTGTGAGAGGGACAAGGAGAGACAGTGGAGGAAGTAGAGGAGGTTGAGAAAAAGAGCCAACAGAGTGACACACAGAGGAGAGAAAGAGGACAGGCAGCGCTGCTCTTGGCAAGTCTGCATTGCCCTCACTTCCAGCCAAGAAAGCACGAGCTGGAGGCTGAGCATCAGAAGGGATCATCACCACAGTGAATAGCCAACAGAGGAATCATTATCTGGAGAATGTAAAGCCAAATATCAATTCCATTGATGTAAACTTTCAAGGCAAGCCAAGAATAATTGCTGACACTTCACTCGATGACCTCAGTGTGATAATAGAAGTTCAATGCAGTCATTGAAGCTGAAATCATATTTAGTGCTCTGTTGAGCATGATCAAGTTTTAAGGGTCAGTTCACCAGAGGACCCAAAAACATATTTTCTGACTTTGTTGCATGACATTTCATTTGTGTAGCTAAAAGCATTGACAACTTGAAGATAGTCAGTTTACTATAATATAACAAAAAGCCGGAAATCCTCACATTTGAAAAGCTGGAACGATCATTCTTGCAGAATTAACGAAACACCTTTTGACTTTGGACTTCAACATACATTTGAAAAGTGCAACCTGTCTTTTCAGAAACAATTTTCCTGTTACTTTGGATAATCCACAGATCTCACTGTGATCAGTTTTTGTAGGAACAATTTCTTCAATAGATAGTTGTTCTAGCAAAAACTGTCACAGTGAGGTCCAAGTGCTATTTTCCATTGTTTTCTGCAGCATATACAAAATTATTTTCACCTCTTTTGTCTTGGAGTGATGGCAGATATTTCCAAGCAGGATATTTTAAAACCTGAGCACATCAAAGCAAAACTACTGTATGTGCCAGGTGCCAGTTGTTGTTTTTTTGTTTTATTTGGGTGAATGGATTTAATATTGGATTTGACTGGGTGTGTCACCCAGGGAAATGCTATGTATAATCCAAAGCACAAGACTTTCTGCAGCACCCTACACTGAGGTCCTCTCTCCCCATCTACCAGCCGGCCCCTCCCCTCCTGGCTGGCCAGCAGCAGTCTGGCGTTCTGACTGACCTGTGCTTGGCATGGCAACAGCATCGTGTGTGAAGCTGCGGAAGCACTGAAAGTTTAATGTGCTGGGAGAGGTGAGGAGAGGATGTGCCGGAGTGACCTAGAAAAGCCTGCCGGCAGAGGGAGGGGTGTACCGCGGGGGGATCAGCGAAGACCGGGGGGAGGGGGAGAATGGTTGGCACTCATTCTCTGCATCCAGTGCATCTATCCTCCCCCCAGTCCACATCTGTAGCTAAGCTCTGAGACTGTGTACTTTTTTTTTCTTTTAAACACGCCTATCATTATCATTTGAGTCGAGTCATAGCTTTAAGGGTTATGATACTGCAAGCCTGATGTGGCTTTGAGAATTACTCGAAAGCCTACGCTGTAAATGAGAGCAGGAAAGCAAAACAAAAAGGCTTCAAACAAATGTAAATTTAAAAAAGAAAGGAGGGTGTGGCTTTTGTAGAGCGCTAAATTATTCCAATATTGGGACAAACAGTACGGTCTCAGCTGGGGAAAACACTTTTTGTTTTTCACAGACACTCTTCTCTAAAGAAGTCTTGCAAATATAGCACTCTAAGGCATGCACAGAAATAGACAGGATATTTTTAAAAGTTAACACTGCATGGCAAAATATCTTTATTTATAATAGTGCTATTCATAAGCTAACCGAAACACAAACACTGTTCCACATTCACAGCACAAAATGAAGCCCCTGACTGGGTGCTCACCTATGTCATCGTCGGTTCTGTCCATGGGGTCCTTCTCCAAGCAGTCCCGCACGATGTCCCGGCTCATGAGGGGGTCCGACGCTCGCTCGATGTCCTCCTCATCGTCGTCCTCCTCCGAGTCGACGGCGGTCTCAGGCAAGCCACTCAGGTCCATGTCACCGGGTTCGTTTTCTGTGGCCTACAAAGAGTAAACAGATGAGAAATGACTCAGTTATCTGCGATTAAAAAGCAACAATGAGGGAGTTTGGTGTTCCCATCCAACATCAGCAGTTGGCTGTCCAAAAGTAAAAATTCAGATGGACCAGTATGTCCATCTATTGCAACGTCTTTCAGCGTAACACTGAACCACCTACCTGCATGCTCATTACAAACAATACTTGAGATTGTCAGCTACATGCCTGAAAAGTGAATCCAATGTTGGTACCTGCTTACTAAGCCAGTAACCCAACTCATGTTCAACTGTCAAAACTCAGACAGCGTAAACTCATTTGTAAACAGCCAGTGTAAAAAAAATCTGCATAATAAGGATGCAGAGGTGGCGGCTGCAGAGCACGCACCCACACACACAGACACTGCTGAAATCATTTTACAGCACAAACATCAGCTGCGACACAATGCATTTCCAACCACAAGCGAAAAAAGAGCCTCTGTAAAACTGTTTTGCAGATTTGACCCATTTCAGGAAATAGATTAGAGGTATTCAGTACAGTATGAGAAAGACAGGCGTCAACACTGCATACCAAACAGTCTGCTATGCATAATAAGAAGCTAATTAACTCCCAACTTTCCTCCCCTCTCCCCCCCGCCACACAGCCAGATCCTGTTCTTTGAAAGCACAAGACTAAACATGTGTGGAGCAATGAACTGAGTTGAGGAGCAAATGTAATGCAATTACTTGTGCAGGAGTGATACTAATGGAGTTCCTCTGCTATCATCAAAGAAAATATTTCTACAAATGACAGAGGGGCCATATTGCCTGGTTCCTGCTTGCACAACATGAAACCTTCACACTGAACAAACCAAAGCAGTCGGGAAAAGAGACTACAAAGCGTCATCCCCGCTACACCGCCACAAAAACAAACCTTACCTCAATATGGTACCCGACCTCAAGCTTCTTTATAGAAAGAGAAGAAAAGGTTGCCTTTGCAAACTGTCCGCAAAATCCCAGAGCCAGACGCATCTTCACCTCCCAGACTGTCAGTCCGCTTTTAATTTTTCAAGGCTCAGAGTCCCCGTGCCCAGTCTCTCACAGAAGCCCTATGTCATTTCTCCTCAAACGCCATGTGCAAAAGGCTCATTAATGATTCAGGCCAGTGTCTGAGAGGCCATTTGGGCGTCACCGGTGCACACACCCTGGTGGGCGGGGCAAATGATCTGGGTGTATGTGTGAGGCCTTCTGACAATGGAGAGTCATAGATTTAATACTGTAGTATATCTTGCCTCAAAATAAAATAAATCAATAACAAGAGTAGATGCACAAAAAGAAATCAAGAATCAAAATGGAAGGACCAGCTCCCTGAATTTGAATAGCATTCCCTGGGCACCCTTTGTCCTAAAACCACAGACCGTTGCATATTCATTGCTCATTTTCTACAGATGGACAGAGGACACAAAAGACAGGTTCACCGCACTTGTTATCTGCAGTAAATATATTAAGGAACAAACATAAATGTGCAAGAGAAGTGAGGATGCATATCCCTTCACAGATGCCACAGTGAATTCATTTGCTTTTAACAGGGTGCAAAAACACCTAACACGCTAAATTGAGTATAACTTGTTATAACTGGAGAGCCATCACGCTGTATTTAAATACAGGTTGCCCATATGCCTTTGTATTCCTGCACACGCTCGTTTTCGTGTCATCTATGCATCAAAAATCCATAAATGTGAAGTAAGCATTAAGAGTCAGTGGGCAAGTCAGGTGCTGTTAATATTTCATCACGGCTATTCTTGGATCAATGCTTTCAAAGTCCTTCTGAAGGACCAATTTCATGATTTATTCAGACACAAAACAGTGCGCCATGTTGCCGGTGACGTGCGAGTGATGTGGGACTCTTCCTGGGGTGCTTCAATTGTAGAGGCCAAAGGAGGTGGTAGAGATTAAAGCAGCGGGGTGGACCGGTGGTTAAACTACTCACTGCCTTCCATCATAAATCCGCACCCCTATCTGCTCAGCAACTCTTTACAAAGGCATAAGCTCAATGTAGAGTAACGCCGTCATATTTCTTAGTACCATCAACTTCCTGTGGTCTCAAGTGTAAAGAACCAAGTCTCCCCTGATCTGTTAATTCAAAAACACCCGAAGTGAAGACCACAAACATCGCTACTGATCTACTATGCCATATCATTAATTCTGAAACCTGCAGGGTGTGACTTCAGCTAACAAAGAAGTAATGTTGCATAAAACAAACAGTTTGGGGAATCCTGCCGGGTACCCTAGGATAGTAAGACATGAATTTGAATCTCTCTCGCTCCATTTTTAATGCTTGCATATTTGAATTTAGTGTGCTGAGTGCGAGTGGTCTAAAAGTTAGGGAGGGAGGGCTTGTGATCAGAAGCAGTTTAACCCTGCAGACCAGCTGATATAAAAGTAAGACAACTTATCTCCTTCATTTAACAACTGCCACTTAATCCTCATTACAGGGAGGGTGCAGTAGTAACACCAAGCAGTCTTTAAATAAATCTGAGCAGTAAGGAGATGATTAAGAGGAGAGGGAAATAGAAATATTTCTGCAAAATGAAATTATGTTATTTTCTTTTCACCCATTCCTGTGAATTACAGCATCATTGTACTTCTTTTTCTACTTCAGGCCGTTAAAACTTAGTCAAATAAAGCTAAGAAAAACATACTTTTTCATTTAAACTAATCACAATACAAAGAAATATATATGCAACCAGTTACATGCGTGGTTGTAATTGATTGGGGACTGGAAACCATTGCTGTTAGAGCAGGTAAACTGTAGTTTAATTGAAACAAGCCTGCAACCACGGATTACTTTCTTTATCCATTAACCTGCAGATTATTTTCTCAATTCATCGATTAATCCTTTTGTCTATAAAATGTCAAAAAAACAGTAGAACAATGCCTTCCAGAATTTCCCAGAGCCAAAAATGTCTTTAAACATTTTCAAATTGTTCGTTTCACCCTACTACCAGTCCAAACCCCCCAAATATTCAGTTTACTATGATAAAAGACAGAAAAACAGCAAATCCTCAAATTCGGGGCACCCAAACCAACAATTTATTTATATCTATCGACTAATTGTTTCAGCTCTAATTTGGACAGCAACACTTGGGAGTGTGAAGAAAAGTGCACGGAAAATAGAGCTCGCATACTAGTCCCAACAAGCACACATAAAAGTAGATCACCAGTGAGCTGAGCAGACAAGTTTGATCACATGTGACATTGAGATTGAGACAAAGCAATTTAAGGCAAGGCGACTGAGTAGATATAGCACTCAGAGATGGAGCAGCTGCTGCTACAAATAGATTAAAGGTTGTTAGAGTTAGAGATCCAGCAAAGGAGGACAGAGAGACTGAAGGAAGACGAAAAAACAGGACAGTGTATTTCAGACACAGAGAGAGAGAGAGAGAGAGCGAATTCAAGACAGAGACACAGAGCTGCTAGCAGATGGCTGTAAGACCAGGATCACAGACTGGGGACAGTAGAGCCTGTTCAACCTGCCCCAGCCAGCCACAGCATGGCCAAACATACACACAAACACACACGCTCATACAGGCCTAACACACAATTAAAGAGCTGTATTCAAACAATTCCATATAATTCCCCAGCACACACAAACACAAGCCAAGAAGAGAGGTCAACACAACGCAAAATGATTCTGACTGAGGCCCCCCGGGGTACAGTCACAAGTGCACAAACAAACATACACACATAAATAGGCACACAGCAGGTGACAGTATTAGGAGCCAATAGGGTGGGTGCTCTACGTTAAGAGGATTAGTTGCAGGGTTTGGGGCACGTCCACAGTCACGAGATTGTGTGTGTGTTCTTTTGAGCTTGAGTCGTGTTTACCTCTTGGGGGGGGGGGGG